CACTTCCCCCCATCGGTGATGTGTGTGGTCACCAATCAGAGCGTGCATTTCCATTGAGTCTTAGTCTTGGAAGGGGGTGCAGCTGCTTTTTAATTATCTTTAGCAAAATTTTACTTACATGGGATATTAATGATATTGTTTCATGATTTCCACATTCCATTGGATCATCTCTCTTATTAATGGGCACATATATGGTCTCTTCCAGTTGGTTGGCCAGGTGGCTGTCTTCCAAATTTCTTGGTATAGATGAGTGAGTGCCTCCAGTGCTATGTAAATTTGTTGAAAGATTTCAATTTGTATTCTGTCCATTCCTGGAGCCTTGTTGTTGTTGTTTTTGCCAATTCCTTTGCAGCTTGGACTTCTTCCTTCAGTACCATTGGCTCTTGATCATATGCTACCTCTTGAAATAATTGAACATAGGCTTTTTTTTTTTTTTTTAATACAGTGACTTTGTGTATACCTCCCACCTTCCTTTGAAGCTTTCTACATTATTCAGTATTTTGCCCATGGAATCCTTCAATGTTGCAAGTCAAAGCTTGAATTTTTTCTTCAGTTCTTTCAGCTTGAGAAATGCTGAATAAATTCTTCTCTTTTGGTTTTCTAACTCCAGGTCTTTGCACATTTCATTATAATACTTGACTTTGTCTTCTTGAGCTGCACTTTGAAATTTTCTGCTCAACTCTTTTACTTCCTCATTTCTTCCATCTGCTTCAGCATCTCTACACTAGAGAGCAAGTATGGCTACCGTACTAGACAGCACACATGCAGATTACATCCATCATCACAGCAAGTTCTACTGGACAGAGGTGGTCTATATGGTAGTGAATATTCTGACCACTGCACCCAGGAACTGGGTGGGGCAGACTTCACTAAGAGTTCCTCATATGGGCAGAGACCTGGATAAGCAAGGACTGGAGTGACGAGCAAGGGGAGAAGGTGATGCAAGCTGAACACCACCTTCCCCACTTCCCTACCCGAGCAGATCCTGACCATGTACCACAGGATCCTGGAGTCATGGGAGGACACTTGCAACCAGTATCACCTGAATGTGACCTTCCGCAGTGTCCCAGAAGGTGAGTCTGAACCCTGTTGCTGTCCAGTGAATTCTGACTCATAGGAGCCCTATGTGATAGAGTATAACTGCCCCATCGGGTTTCCATCTTTCTTTATGGACACAGCATCACATCTTTCTCCCAAGGAGCGATTGGTGGGTTTGAACCTCAAGCCTTTTGGTTAGCAGCCAAGTGCTTAGCCACTGCACTACTCGGACTCCTATTGACCCTAGACTCAGGGATACCCAATCCTTCTTTTTGTGCATTTTATTTGAGCTATTGATTACTGATTATGGGTTATACACGCACACTGTTTTACTCAGAGTACCTGGGAGGTATAAATGGTAAGTGTGCTCAGTTGAGTTGCAAACCTAAAGGTTGAAGGTTTGAGTCCACCCAGAGATGTCTCTGAAGAAAAGCTTAATGACATCTTCCAAATAATCAGCAGTTTCACTTTGACACACATGGAGTTGCCATGTGTCAGAGCTGACTCCGTGAAAACTGTGTATTTTTGTTTTTTTATTGCTTTATTCTGTCATTCAACAAATATTTACTGAGCACTTACTGAGTGCTAGGCCCTGCTTCTTGGCACAGAGAACACAAGTATGAACAACAGAAATACTCATCTTTCAATGAAAAACTAGGCACAAATGTGAGGGCTCTAATACAGGGCATACACAGACTACCAAACATTTTGAAAACTATATACATACAAAAGTAGACAAAATAGATGATTGGAACATGCTAAAAATTAAAAACTTACGTGAATCGAAAGACTTCACCAAAATAGTAAAAAGGGAGCCCACAGAATGGGAAAAAATCTTTAGCAATGACACATCAGACAAGGGACTAATTTCTAAAATATATAGGAAACTATAACATCTCTACAAGCAAAAGACAAATAACCCAATTAAAAAATGGGCACAGGATATGAACAGACACTTCACCAAGGAAGAGATCTGGGCAGCCAACAAACATATGAAGAAATGTTCATGATCACTAGCTGTTAGAGAGTTGCAAATCAAAACAACAATGAGATATCATCTCACA